TCCTAAGCCTTGTCTATAGTCATAGCTTTTAAGCCACTTCTGCCTCATCCTTTACTTGGCAGTTGTTTCTCTAAACCCAAGTATAAGAACTTATGTTTATTCCTGTTAAATTTCATCTTGTTAGATTTTCCCCATTCTTGTGATCGTTTTGGATCTCAATTCTAACATTCAACCTATCTGCTGTACTCTCAGCTCTATGTCATGCACACCCGTAGTGAGTGTTCCCATTATGACATCACTGATAGAAATTATGAACAGGACAAGATATGAAGAGTCCTACAGCACATCAGAAATCTGGAAATTCAGTGATTCTTGAATTTCAATGTGTACATGAACCATCGAGGGGCTTCTATGCCCCATCTCTAGAAATTCTGATTTAGGAGGTTTGAGACACGCCCAGCAATCTGTCTTCAACACCTTTCCCCAAGTAAGTTTCAGGTGGTTGATCTGCAGAGCATAGTTGGAGAAACACTATTCAGTTTGATGCCAGTCAATAATCAGCTCCTTTTGGGTATGGCCAGTCAGGCACAATCCACCCAATTGTCTTTACATCCTGCTCATGTTTCTTGCCACTTTCGGGAAGTTATCATGAGAAAGAAACCTGGTTAAATGAAGAGCTGAATTCCAGTCACACTGGTACTACTGTATTTCCCCACTCTACCAGTCCTGCTAGCCTGCAAAAGGAAAAAATGATGAGGACATGATTTGTTCTTAGCAAACCTGATTGGTGTGTTGACAATCAAGTCTTCCTTATACCTACAATTGACTCCTTTAGTTCCTGATCTAGAATCTTGCCTGGGTTTCAGGGTAACATTCCACAGATGATAGTTAACAGAATCAGCTTTCTTCACCTTTGGAACACTGGAGCTGCCCTTATCTGTCTTCAGTCATTTGGAAAATCTGCTATCTTCTAAAAGCTCTCAAAGATCATGGACAGCTGCAAGTTCTTTCTGAATCCATTCTGGAATGTAATTCATCCAGGCCCAAACACCTAAACTCAGTTAGAGATGCTTCACCATGTGGAGCTTTCATTCTCCCTTATCAATGATCATCCTACCCTTTTCAGTTTGAAGATCATTTTCCTTGACAGAAAGGACAGAAGCAAAATAGGATTTTCAGAGTTCTGCTTTCTCTATATCACCAATCAGCAGTATACCATCAGTTCCAAATAGCATATCCATCCCCTTTTTCATCTTTTTCTTGCTCTAAACATAACTTTAAGCACCCCAAGTCTTCTTTAGCAATTCTTGCAAGCCTCAACTCATTAGAGATTTTATTTTCCAACTGCTATTCTTACAGATCTAAGACTCCTTACATTTGCATAAACTTGACTTCACCGTTCCTGTGTTGTTGTTTTTTTTTTTAAATTGACCTCAGGTTGGCAAAAAAATTGTTAACTGTTAGAGTTGGGTGATATGTACATAGGGGTTCATTAGGCTAGTCTTATTACTTTTGAAATTTTCCAAAATAAAAAGTCAAATAAATATATATAAATAGAAATGTTTATGTAAATACACACACGCTCAGAGAGAGAGAGAGAGACAGAGACAGAGAGCAAGATTCCTCATTTCTTTTTCATTGGGTGTATTTTTTCCCCTAAGCTTTCTTTTATTGGTTGGGATAATTTGGTTTGAATTCAAGTCTGAATTACACTTTCTCTGAACCTCCTAATCCTTTTAATTTATTTTCCAGCCCATATTCTTATGCCATTTTTCTTTGACTACCTTTTCTTTGGACTTTTAAAGTCCACCTATCAAAAACCTAGGATATATTCTAATTATACCTATTTCTCCCTTCCTATCAGGAATACAAATTTTAAAAGGTTAGCAAATTTTCATTTAGGATTAGATTAGTTCCCCCATTATCCTTGAGGATATAGGTCCTCAAAGTGTGGTCCTTGTACCAACATCACCTTTGAGGTTGCTAAAAATGCAAATTCATGGGTCCTACCCGACCTACTATATCAGAATCTCTGGGGATGGGGCCTGGAAAACTCTCCAAATGAGTCCTATGCATATTAAAGTTTGAGAACCACTACTCTAGGAGAAGAAATGGTTTCAATCCAAAAGTTGTCAGACAACATGCTTTTAATCAAATGCGAGTTCCATCAAGTGCCTAGACACCGGGAGTCCCTCATACATTAACCTTTGTGACTATCATGTGTCTGCAACTCATCACCTTCTCCCTTGGCCAAAGATCATACAGCATACTTCCACTCCTGTATCTATCCCATTTCTCTCCCTTTTTATTCACCTCTAGATGGTGTTTAGCATCCTTCCACTCTCAGGATCTCAGATCTCAATGCAGGTATACAATTTCTTGCCATATCACACTCTTACATCTCTCCTTTGAAGAAACCCGAGTCTCATAAGAAAGACTTATTCTTCCATTGCTACATTCAAACGGTAAGCCCAAACCCAGAAAGTCCCCATGATAATCATGAGATATTTATTACTCTCCTTCATAATCTCAACTTTATCATTTAAATTTTGTATGCTGTTATAAAGACTTTGGAGCCTCTAAGTATTATGTCTAGCTAGTTTCCACAGTGTTGTCTTTTGTGAATCCCTGGATACTGCCTACATTTATTCTGCTTACCATGTCCTACTTGCTGTCTAACAGGGTTTCATCAGTTAATCTGCTTGTTTTTCTGCTCTTTAGCAGCATTCAGTTTAAAACTGTCCTGACCAGATCAGCTAGTTTCTAGGAAAACACACATAGGAGATGTACTCCCTTCCTCCCTCCGTATTCTACCAAATTCAGTGGAATATGATGATGATTATACTAGCTGCAAGCTTTTCTTCCTATACTTTTAAATTAGTGCTTTTATAATGATGATAAATAAAAGCTATAGCTGTAGCCAGAAAGGGATTGGTAGGACCAGGAGTAAGGAGGGGTTAATACAAATTTAATAGTTTGATTTTTTTTTTTTTAAATCCTTCACTTGAGGTTATCCCTTTCCTTGGTTCTTTTGTAAGCAGGAATATAATAAATATTAACCACGTTGAAAAAACTATTTGCTTTAAAATTAATATATCTGTGATCATAATTTTCTACTTTAGAAGTAGAAAAAAATTAAATCAATCAAATGCATTCAGTTGTATATTCCACTCTGAATTGTGAGATAACTAGCATCAATCAATTCCATGCAAATTGATATGCTTATTCTACATACAGACAAATAAGTTCTAAGTTTTACAAGATCTAAGTTGAAAAACCACAATGTAGAAGAAACATGGCACTAGAGAAGTCACAGAATTTATATTCAAAATGCAAGAATATTCTGAAAACATATAATTTGTTTAAATTAGGATGTGTAACAAATTAGTTAACCAGTTTGAAAAGCAATTTATATCCAGTCTGGCCTACATAACATAACTCAACTCTAAAGAAGTAATAAAAGAAGGCAATAAAAGAAAGTAACAAAACATAATAATAAAAGAAAAGCACAAAGTGAAACATAAACTGAAGAAATCTGGGTTGTAAAAATAGTATACTGAATATAAAACTGCATAGTGCTTGAATAACTATTATTCTTAAGAAATGAATGGGTAAAAATATATTACTCATTAATACAAAGGAAAACAGTGAGTCACTTAACACACTAAACTGGGGAAAGGTACTAATTCCCCAATAATTGGAACAGTTACATATTTCTGCTAAATAGTTTAGCGGTTAAAATCAGTTACAAAAAAATAGGTATAGTTTAAGTAGAATAATTCTGTTTTTAAAAATGCCATCTTCTGTTTCTAATATTGAATAGAAATACTTCATACATATTCAACAAATATTAAATTAATATTGTTAAAAGCATCACATAATGATAAGAATGGACAAAAATTTTAATGTAAAAATATAAACTTTGAGAGGAAGAGTTTGGTGGTAAGATATATATCCACATTTAGAAAATATACTTCTTATTCTCATTTTTGTTACTCAAACACTACAACTTTTTGTGAGTCACTTAACTTATGGAAGTCTGTTTCACTCTATCAAAAGTAGACAGTAAAGTGGATCCTGAAGATGATCTATCCATGAGAAATGCTTTGATGATTGACTAGAAAATGACTTTAAGGGTTTACTATAAACCTCAGTATATCATCACCATCCTCTTTATTCTTTCATTTGCTCAGTTATCTTGTCATCAACAGAGACACCACTTAAAATCATTCCACTCTTTTTCACTTCCCAGCTCTTGGCTATCATTCTACCCAGTCTGAACAAGTCTTAAATCAATCTTCAGTCTTTTGGGGGCTAATAAATATGCTCACCCAAAGAAAGTGATGGTATAGAATGTAACGTTCTCGCCATGCTTTGGGATTCTTGGGGAAAAAGATATCTCATAAACATAAATGGGTATGTTTAGAACTCACTGTAATTTGAGATTACAGAGGTCATTCTCCCCATACTTCATTTAACAGTAATAACAAAGATAGTTTTATGTTTTTATGTCAGTTTTGACATACAAGAATGTTACAATAATGACTACTACTTTTTTTCCCACTTAACAAAGGAAAAAAGTTAAAATAAACATGAGGTTATTTCTCTCCCATTTTCCATTGACTAGAAGAGGTGCCATCTTTTTATATTTTATTCCAGAAAATAAGAAGGTTCATCATAATTGAAATGACTCTATCCCAGGATCATTATAAAATGCACATCTGCCCCAAAAGATCTCTGGAGTCCTGATCAAATCTCTTTCTCTGACCAACATGCCTCACACAGAGCTAATGCTCAATGAATGTCTACTATTGAATGAGGACCTTTAAAAAAGATGGCAGTCCTATAATGGATAAACTAACTTGAACCAACAATCCTTTTTTTCATTCATTCACTCAACACTATTAAGCAGCTATAATAATGTAATGCTTTCAATCATTCAATAAGAACTCAAAATGTGAAAAATATAATATGGCAAGGAATATTTCTACATTTCCATTTTTGGGAGAAATTTCTAGCATGCATTTCACATGTAGTTTTACGCATGTAAATGACCTTACCTCTCTTACAGATAGCTGTGGTGGGAAGGAGACTGAAAATACCAAGTTGGTAAATTCAAACCCAGAGGCCTCAACCTTTTGGCATACCTAAAAAAGTATTACATAAAAAGTATTATATAAATTACCAGGAATTGCTGAAAATCTTACACTAATCTTCATAACATGAATTTTTGCTCCAAGAGATGACACTGCAAAACTTCCAAACTTTCACCTTTGAGTAGGGAACTCACACAAACATCCTGAAATCAAGTATTTACTAGTTATGACCCTAAAGACTGATATCACAAGGTACCAAAACAGCCAGGACTCACCTGCAGAACAATCTGTTGAATGTCAAAATAGTTTTCTATTAGGTCACCTCATAATTTAAAAAAGATTTTAAACAAAATCAAGCCAAATATGGTGCTCTTGACAGCTGGAAACAAAAGGCCATTCCATATTCAATTGTCTAGCTTCCACAAGGTTGTAATACTTGTCTTTTCTAGACACTAGTAGGTATGACTAAGAAAGAAGTTTTCTCTAACTCCTTAGCTATGTTAAATAGCAAAGGGAAAACTGCTATGTTTTTCTTCAATTGAATAGCACTCATGACTGAAATACATGGATACATATTTCTCTAATTTTCAGATATCATGTTGATAAAAAGGTAATTTGAGGAGTAGGCTTCTGTTTTTGAAAAAAACTAACAAAATGTTTTAATGATCCATTGGTGTGAAACAAGTCGAAATGAATGGCATTGTTCCTCTAGATACAAGAATTCTAGGCCTTATGACTGAAAATCTCTACGTAATTGCACATATAATAAAAAACAGATTATTTACCTTTTTAATGAACTCTTTTTCACAGAATTCTTGAAGAATCCCTAGGCAAACATTGCATACATTCAAATTTGAGTTCTTGGAAGCAATGCTTCCATCTTCAATAACGGAGACCCTTCCCTCACCATTTTGACTCAGATTATCATTCCCATCAATCCCATCTTCTAGTTCTTGTAGTCGAATTTTCTTGAGAGGTGGGTTTGGAACTTCCAAAATTAATTCATCTTTTTCAGTTTCCAGAAATTTCTGTAGCTCATTGAGCAATTCCTGGAAAGTTAATTTTAAAAAAAGTAATAACACTTTGATGATGCCTTTAACAGTAAAATGAAGCATGAAAACTGGAGTAAAAATTATGATACATCACAGACTTATACAATGTTGATTTATATTAATTCTGGAGCAATCAATTTTATTAGCCAACATTGGCATTCTGGGGAATTTAAAAGAGAATTACCTAACTCTTATAATAAATGTGTAAATACTTTTTTCAAAAGAGTTTCATATATCAGTGAAGATGAAGTCCTAAATCTGAGGCAGAAAGGCTCCATTAACAAATTTATTAATTTGGTTTGCAGTCTGTTGTGAGGGCATTCACTTGCTAATTTCAGTAAAAAAAAAAAATCAATTCTAATTATTAAAAAATAGAAATACAAAATGAGCGGCCAGCCCCATGGCATAGCGGTTAAGTGCGCACACTCTGCTGCTGGCGGCTCCAGTTCAGATCCCAGCGCGCACCAACGCACCGCTTGTCAGGCCATGCTGTAGTGGCGTCCCACATAAAGTGGAGGAAGATGGGCACGGATGTTAGCTCAGGGCCAGTCTTCCTCAGCACAAAGAGGAGGATTGGCATGGATGTTAGCTCACAGCTGATCTTCCTCACAAAAAAAAAAGAAAAAAAAAAGAAATACAAAATGAATTTCCATCCTTGCTATGTTATTTAATAATCTCAATAACTAAAACCTCATATGTACAATATTTATTATGAAATCTGAAAAATTAGACAGAAATTAGAAATCTATTAAGTAAAAATAATTTCAAAACAATTTACTAAACAAAGGTAAACAGATGCTGGCAATGCTGAAACTTGGCACCATAATTACAAACCATTTACATGCATTAATTGAAAGAAACCCTCTACTACATTCTAGTTTACCTAATTTCTGTCACCCTTTGTATTAGAATGTTAAAACTGGCATTCCTTTGAAACCATTCTTATATTTCAGACATTCCACTCATGTAAATATTCAGAGGACTTTTCCTCTGTTTTATCTAAATTAGACAGGTTTTATTATTCAGTTGTTGAATAAATATCCTTTTGAAATTCACTCAGGTTACAATTTACGGACTCTAAAGGGAAAAAGCTTTCACTCAAACAAATTTAATTCATTTTATTAAGACATTAGCTCTCTTATTTTATCTTTAACAGAGAAATACTCAAATGTACATAGACATACAGGTATATCATGATTCACACAAACATGTTTACTATTACCTAGGATCTATAACGTCAGTATAACATAGTACATATATATGTATGTGTACTTACATAGTTATACGAATAGAACAGATCAAAATTTAAATACATTCACCAAAAAATTGTCTTCAAATATTTTCATGTTTATTTACACAAAATGATACAAAGAAAAGTTGGTAACACTAAGTCTCTTTATATAATATATATTTTAAATCTTATAACATATGCATAGAATAATAGATTATCTTGTGTCTGAAAAAAATGTGTAAGGAGAGCCACACAAAACCAGTCACATTCCTCTATAGTCATAGTGTGTAAAAATGAATATACACATATATATTAATCATCATAGCATATGTACCATTTCCAGTTTTCAAAGTGTTTTCACATACTTTATTAGATATTGTCCCTTAAAATCCTGTGAGGTGGATGTTATCATCATTCTCATTTACAGAGGAGAAAACTGAAGCTGGAAAGTGGTGGAACTGGGATTCAAATCCATGTCTTCTAGCTCCAAATTCTAGGCTTTGGATTCATACAGACAGTTCATATCCTAGCTTGCTCACTTAATAGCTGTGTAACTTTGGGCAGGTTGCTTAACCTCTCTGTGCCTCAGTTTCTTCATCTGAAAATAGAGACAATCATAGTATGTACTTACCTAATAGGTTATTAGGATTATATGAGAGCTTGACATATAATAATGTTATATGAATACTGGATATAATAGAAGCAACTAATACATAGGAAAAATGACTGCTATTGCTAACTCCTGGGCAATTTTTAAAAATTATAAGGAACTGAGTGTGCATGTGTGTGTGTGTGTGTGTACATACTATTTATACAGGTATATATTTACATATATATATAATTACTATCTGCCTCTGAAAAGAACATCACTATTAGAATCAAATGTATTTCACAAAATATGTTATATATAACATAACATATATACATGTTATATATACATATATATTTAAATCTTTATAAATTAAATAATATACAATTTAATTTATAAA